GGGTGTCCGCTGTCCGCTACGGGCACGTGGCGTGGGCCCAGACTCTCGAATCGAGGTCTTTTGCTAGACAACTTGCCGACAGCCATTGCCATCCAACATTGGCAGGGCATCTTCCGCTGGCTCATCGATTGATTATCGAGGTGTTGATGTACTACGAGCGGAAGCGTTCCACGATGTCTAGATACATGTGAAGACGATACCTCCTGGTCGAGCGGCGAAAGTAAGTGCGTGAAACTGTACTCCGTCTAGCTACACATACGCTGCTGCTGCACGTTAATACAACTGTTCGTATAACCAGACCGGCAGGCCTTCAGCTTTGCCACTGTGTTATCGTCGTCTGAACTCATCTGGGTTTTGCACAAGATGCGGAATTGCTCATGGTCGTGATCTGATCATGCGCCTCATCGGCCCTTCTTCCGGTTCTTAGCTGTAATGTCTCCATGATTTGAGACATTCAATGGCGGATATTGTAGGATGCTGTTTCGAAGTTTGTTCTACTAACACAATCTTTGACGGGTTTTCCCGCTCGCATGGCCTCTTAGGCTCTCCAAACGCTAGGGGTATCAGCAGTCATGTTTTTGTTTGAATTTTCGTGTGGTTGACATACGTCTTGCAAACAGCATCTACTGTTGTTACTCCGGTGTGGGGCGTCGTGCGGTGATGGGATCCTTCTTTGTTGGATACTACGTCTTGCATAGCGTGTCGACATGCGAAAAGGCTATCGATGCAAATGTTTCCCATCCAAGGTGTGGCGGTCATCGTATGGCTCTAGCCTGTCGCTACTGGAAGACCAACCAGTGCGCTTTTTCTAGCTGAGCTGGCCGGGTGCTGCCCGAAGCCGTACCGAGGCAGGACGAGTTTGCTTCTGAAAATCAGTATCAGGATCAACAGGTGTGAGAAGTGAAATGCAGAAAGAAGATGTCGTCTGTGCAGGTCTATGTAGTTAGTTTACCGAAAGCTGGGGTCAGATCCGAGGGTGTGTTGCGGTTGCCGGCGTCGCTGATCAGTGATCCCCATGTTCGTGCCGAGCCGCACCTGAGTCGTGACAAAATCACGTGAGTCTGCGGCTCGAGTCAGCTACCTGGGTGACAGGCTTGGTGACAGAAGTCGCGACACCAAGCACCCCGCTTCCCGTCTTTGTCTATGCTGGAGTGTGGAAAATCTCGGGAAGCAAGTGGAAAGCTTCTCTGTGAGTGTGTATGATACCGAGTCTTCCGTTTCAGTCACGTCTGAACCTTTGCACGACGCTTCATCGGCCTCGGACAATGAGTGAGCCAGCTACATGAGGTGTGCTTTTAGTTGCCGCGTAAAGGCTACAATCCCCATTATGGAAGAGAAGCCCCAAGGTGTGTCCTCCCATACGGCACGATAGTTGACGTGGATTGGACGAGGTAGTTAGTGAGGCCAGTGTTCAGCAGTAGGCATCCCATGGCTGACGAGGCTGCCGCACGCACCACGGGATGACTGGTCCTACTCCCGTAGACCTGTATGAGGGTCTCCATTCAGGCCTCAACGGACACTAAACACCTGGAGTATCTGGGGAGCAAGTGACGTCAGCTGGACAAGGCCAGGACTGACGCCTGACCAGACAGGTGATCCCCCACGTGTACAGCAAAATTTGGACCAAATGCTGTTGAGCTGAGACATACTCCGACGAGACGTCCTCATTCAAAGCTTCCATTCGTAGATCATCATGGAAGAGCTCGGGATTGTTACTATTGCTTTTCGCTCCCCCGTCGCGTGGTACCTGTAGTTGACAGCGGAGGGTATGAATTTTCGCCCACAATAGCCGCTGGGTGGGTCTTTTGGGCATCCTAGATCCAAAAGTCCATGGCGTCAGCGCCAGAAGTGGGTCTGTAGGGCAGCGAGAGCCGCAAGACCAAGTGTTCGGGACCCAATTGGAGACACTTTGGGCAGCGAAGGATTCATTGCTGAGACGAAGTGACATGCCGCATGTGAGTCACACGTCCTGATGGAAACGTAGTCTCTAGAGAGGAATTACTCGCGCGAACGAACTGAAGCTGGATAGCGCGGTGAAATGAAAGCGTTTGGAATGCCATTGTCGAATTTCGCTCGGGTTCCAACGAGATGGTGGATTTGTAGTGGGCTGTGCTTAGCGAGTTCCCACGCGTTCCTCCACCCAACCAGCGCTAGCCAAACGGCGGAGACGACAATGGTTAGGAAGGCGCGACTACGATTTTGATATAACGAGAGGTGCAGTCTGAATTTCTGACAATAAAAAATAAGGAGTTTGCAGGAGTTCATGTAAGATGGCTTGTGGCGTAGATTATTTTGAGATTGTGGGTACATTACCTGCATGATGCTTAAGGCAACTGATACTGACATCCATCGCATGTCCACTGCGCATGGCGGCACCGAACGCCCATCGCGTCTTTACGTCGACGATCAATCGCAAGTTCTCGAGCATCGACTCCCAGCATCCCTTCCTGAGAAGTATGATGGCGTTTCACAGTTTCCATGCACATGACTGTGTCACTGTGGCACAAGAGCTGCCGATATCGCATCAATCTGACACAGGCTTCAAGCCAAAGATCTTGATGTCTGCAGGGCGTGTGCGATGTGCCGAAATGATTCAGCCCCGATGCTCTGCCGGTCACACCAAGAGTCTAAACGGACGTCAGTGGAAGACGATTGTATGCGGAAGCCCTTTCGAGCGTGTTGTCATGCCGTATCTGTCCGCTACCCCGCCGCAGAACTTGCTGGAGGTTGCGAAGAAGGTTGGCTAATCACTTAATGTGTGCAACAAGCGCTTTGCAAGACCTGGCGGTCGGCACAAACTGGTGTCGCGCAGAGTGCTGCATCTGAGCCGAAGCGAATGGTTCTAAGTGGCATTTATCAAGCATCACAGCACATATCTGGCGCAGGCGTGGATGAAGGGTAGCCACAGTTACACGAAACTCAACGTCATGCCTGGTGGTGTAGGAGCATTGGATGAGCGGCCACCCTTCCGTTACGGACCACTGCACTATTTCGTCTTACAGGACCGGGACGAGCGAATGGCAAAGCTGTCAATGATGCACCACATGGTAGCTGGTGGTGGGGTGTTTATGGCGAATGTCTGAAGCTTGATCTAGCAACGACGAAAAGTCAAGACGCTGCACTCCGTCTGCAGACTGTGTACCATGACGCCGGTCGAACACAGCATGAGGGACATGAGGGAGGAGAGCAGTGGCGAATACCTCGGAATACGATAACGGTCGTCGTGCGTGTGACATTTGGAGTCGCGGTGCCGTGGAAGCCGCAGGTTGCCGGATTGGGCGTATTCGAGAGCGCATCATTTGTTCTGGTTCTGGCCAGAACTGTTGAGGGCATTGCGCTGCTCGATGCGGTGCGTCTGTTCACCGGAAGCTTTGGTGGGGTAGTGTCGATGACTAGGCGAGTAAGCAACGCTTGACGGGCCGCGTGATGAGAGCTGCGTCCGAGGCGATTCGATGGGATTGTTACACCGATACGCTGTCTTGCTGGCAAGTGCGTTAGTGCCGGGCAGGGCAAGAGCTGAGGGGCTGTGATTTGCGTGGTTCTGAGGACGCAACGCCAGCCATGCTTGACACCGGACAATGAGGACTCGCAGTGGCGAAAGGACACATGTTATGCGTCGCGTCCTGGAGATTAATGAAGGTAACGATGGTGAGAGTGCTCTGTTGTTCCTGCATGGTAAGCGTGATTGACGTGGCCGAGCCAGGAGCAAACGAGTTAGCTGTTAATAAACGATGCAGTGCTGAGGCTCCATGACGTGAACCGTGAGGAAGCGAGGAAGCGCAAGGAAAAGTTCGATGGAGCTAGGAAATTCTGCCCTGCAACCGTTCACCGTGTGATGCTGCAGAGCATCGAGGGCGTCGTGGTAATACACGATAGACAGTGCCAAGGCGAAGTGTGATCAGCAGCAGCGGCCGCCAATTCCGTCTAGCAGGCGGGCGACAAGCTTTCATGAGGGCTGGATCGAGCGTGGAGCGCGTTGAGATGTGGTTTTGACGAAGTGTCGTGACGCGCGAGAGGGCGGTGAGGTGGTGCGTTGAGGTGGATTCGCCCATTCAGCCCTCTCAGGCGAACGGCTCGCAGCTACGAGGGCCGGGCAATCCCGGTTTCATGTCGTTCGAACGGAGACGATCCACGACCACTCAAACCGATGGATGTTGCGCATCTGAGGCAGCCAATGGCCAGGCGAATGGCTATTATTACGACCCGGACGACGTGATCAGCATCAGGGTGGCATGGCGGCAGGATGAAGCAGTGTGGACGCATGGCGAAACTGTCGCAGACTCGGCCTCGGAGAGCAGGCCTTCCCAGCAGACTACTCGGACGTGGTCGCGGTCGCGGTCGCGGTGCAGACAGCAGCATGGCAATGGCAGTGTTGCGGCTGGCAACGAGGGCGTCTGCATGCAGCCACCCAAAGTATGGTGTGGAGGCTGCGTCACCACGACAGCGACCACTTGACGACAGCCAGGAGCTTGAGGGCGGCAGAGCAGCCCCTCGGCCAACCACTAGGTGTTGGAGGTTGACTGGGCAGCGACGGATGCGGTGCGCGCCCAACGATTAGACGCATTGCATGAAAGAGCTAGCCCGCTATAAGGCAGTTTATAGTACCACGCCGTTTTGAATTTTACGGGCGGGGGAAAACTTTCGTGTGTCGAAGCCCGAACAACGCCTGCATGCCTGTCTGCTGCACACCAAGTCGCCCGTCATACTCTGCAGCGCCTCGCATATCCCTCATCCCTCTGCCTCCCTCGTCTCTTCGCTCTGATCTTCTCTCCCCTTCACCCACACCACGCCCCGCCGCCTTGATGAGACGGTAGCAGCCAGCCCTATGCCCGTGCGAATAATGCGCTTTCGCCGTCTCGCCTGATTGATTGCTTGTCCAGGATCGCCCCGCGACGCTTTATTATCGATAGAGCGCGCTGCTGGAGCCGCTAGATATTTTGCCGACTCCTGTCTTCTCTCTCCCCAAAACAAACGCTGCTACTACTGCTGCTGCTGCCACCATGGCGGAACTGCAGCCTACTGTCGAGGACTGCTACTCGGATGACAGCGAAGGCGGCTCTATCCCCTTCCAGGGCCGCCGGTCGCCCAATGCCGCTAACGTCTCCACCAAGCGCTCGCACCCTTCCGACTTGGATAAACAAATGCCGCCCGCGCAGGAGAGGGCGCCGACCAACATCGACCTTCGCTCCGACTCAGGGTACAGCAGCTACACCACCGCCACCGTCAGCAGCACTAATTCCGCTCAAAGTGCTCCTCCCCAGCGCAGCCCGCCCCAGGTGCCCGCCGCCGCTGCCCCAGCGCCTCCCCAGCCTGAAGCTCCAAAGGCCCGACGACGCCCGACGGATACGACCGAGAAGACTTCCAAGTCCTCTTCGCGACCCAAGCCCTCTCGCACCGCTTCGTCTGCCTCCAAGCCTCCTGCTGTTGTCCAACATCAGCCACCGGAACGTAAACGCAGGCCGACCGTTACCCAGGAGTCCCGCCCGGAGCGCAGAGATCGTCGTGACAGCAGAGTTGAACCGGATGGTGCCGAGCCTAGACGCACCAAGTACGACCCCAACGCCCCTGCCTCAGCTGTCCGTCGTCGCCCTGACATACTGCCATCGCAATCCGCTCGCGACGTGCGTCCCATTCCACAAGACACACGCTCAATGCATTCTGATCCCGCTTCCTATCAGCAGGCTCCGCCCTCCCCTACGCACTATCGCCAGTCCTACCACGCAGGAGCCGCCGTCATCCAGCCAGCCACAACACGTCCTCGTCGCCCGTCGGCCGCTACTCGACCCATGAGCTACAGCGGTGAGCCTGGGGCACAGTACCACCACTGGGCCCATGGTGCGCCTGGATACCCCCCTCCACACCAAGAGCATGGTCCGCCTCTTTCCCAATCTGCTCAATTCCGGCAACCTTACCCCCAGATGGCTCATCCATCCATGCCCTATGGGACGTCGTCTGGCTACCCCCCTCATTACTTGCAGCAGATGCCTCAATCCTACGACCCAATGCAGAGGCCGGGAATGGTGCCACGGCAGTCATTCAATACCGCGCGCACAGCACCTCAACCCGCTGTCATCCAAGCTCCCCGCGATCAGCAGCAATACTCGGCGAGGCGCAGCCAGCCTCAGGGTACATACCCTAATCAACTCCAGATCCAGGATGGAGCCTATACAAGCGATAGTGAATCCGAGACGGGATCGTCTGATGGAGAAGGAGACTATGAGCGGGAGCCTGAGATCGATCCCGAGGACCCACGTGTCCGCCGTGCGCTCATGCCCCCGCCCTCTTCGAAGCTTTCGCGGACCAAGTCCAAGTCAACGACTAAGCCCAAGACCAGGAAGGCGGAACGGCCTATCTTGTCTCATGCTCACACTACCACAACCGTAGAGCAAGTTCGCAGCCACCGCCATTCGCTGTCGACTCCTCCTGTTGGCGTCGACGACCGCTCCAGCCGTCATCGCCCTACCAAAAGCACTAACGAGGCGTCTCGCCGACAGTCCATCAGCCGACCTCCACCCCCACCGCGCGAAACACAAACCGAATACCCCGCACGACGTGGTTCGGTTTATGTGGGCGATAGCACCAAGGCTGAACGGCGTCGATCCGCTCACTACGGACACTCTGCCCAAGAAAAAGCATATGCGGAGTACGCTCTTGTGAGGCAGCAGGAGACGCGCCTCGCAGCCGAAGAGCAAGCCAGACAAGAAGAAAAAGCCGCCAGACGTCAAAGGAAAGCTGAAAAGCTTCTCGAGGATCGCTTCCAGGCTGAACAGGCTGCAAAGACCGAGCAAGAGCGCAAACGCGAGAAGCGCAACTCGAAGGTTTACTACCAGACTCCTGCAGCGTTGTTTGATGACAGCGAGGAGGAGTACCACTCCGATGAACCCGTCGCCCCCTTCGTTCCCGAAGCGCCAGCTCCTCCCCGCCGGCGCCGTCCTACTGATGCGGGCGGCCGCAAAGCCAAAGAAGTTCAGGCGATAGACTACATTAACAACCAACGTGGCACGGATGTTCCGTTGAACGATCACATCCATCGTGCTGCAAAGAGGGCTTCGAGGGTACCTTCAATGCCCTCTCATTCCGGCTCCTCTGGAAGCGATAGGCAAAGCCAGTCTAATCGCACCGCTCTTACGAGCAACGGCAATAATGAGATTCGCCTCCGAGTTGATGCGAACGCCCCACTCAGCCTGCAGTTCAACGGCGACATGGAGGGTCGCACTATGCAACTCATCCCGACCGAGGACGGCATGGCAGAACTTGTCATCAGTGGAAGTCGTGATAATGAGAGCAACTATCACAGCAGTGAAAGAGGCAGCAACGCAGGTGACGGACAGGCACTTGTAACGCGGAGCCAGCTAGAGGAGATGACCAAAGCAAGCATGCGCAGCGACCGTAGAAGGCGCGAAAGCCGAACAGTACGGGATTCTTACGATGATCGAATTGTTGAGGTGCCACGACCTTTGCGTCGCCGCGCCAACACCGGTTCGCATTATTACAACTAAGGATCTCCGAACCTCAGACACTCGCGCGCGAAAGGAAGATGCGTAGCTCGACTTTGACTCTATTTCCTGCTGGCCACACGTAACTTCCCATCCTCTGCCCTGCGCGGCAGATCTCTTTGTATCTTCCTTTTTTCTTGGGTGGATGATTTCCATATCAAAAGCTTTCTACGAGCGCGGACATGCCTCTCTGGCAGACCTGCTCAACAAAAAAGTTCGGATCGGTTTATTCTTCGCAAGTTCGATTTTGGCACTATTGCCCACTCGCATTCCATGTTTATATGCTTGCTGCGTTCCCTGCGACAGTGCAGGTCACATTGTTATGGTTTGCTAGACTGGGAACGCTCACGCACACCAACATCCAATGCGTAAGGGCGGCCACCGCCATTGAACTTCTTGTTTGGACCGATCAGATTGTACGGTTATCTTCTTCCTGCCTTTCGTCGCGCCCTTTTTTGAGCGTTCCCCACATTATTCCCCCCTTCTTCTTACTTCTTCTTTACCCTGCACTATACCTGCTCCTCGCGGAGGCTTTTCGGCACTTTTTTCTCGATTTTGGCGGATGTAATACCCTTATCTCCTTTTCTACTTGTTATGGCTGGATCATGTACGTGGCAGAAATGTTTGGTGGGGTTTCCTTTTTTTCGTTCCGCTATTTCGCAAAAAAAGTAAGCAAGAGGTCGATGTGTTGGCAACGGCTACGACGCTTATGATGATGGACGTATGGATCATGAACTACGCAGCGATGGATCTTTCTCTCTGTTTTCCTTATCTACATAGCTGAGCTGGGATGGACGGATGGCATGATGGGGTTCATTCAAATCGGGTACTGCAGCTAGCCTGTTGGTATCGTGTAGGATATGATCACAATCACATCTCTTCTACCCTCCTCACCGTTACCCTGTACTGGTTCACCGCAAATGTGATGTAGGACGCCAGCACTGACCTGAGCTTGTGTGAATGCTTTTGTCTGACTGCATAGGGCGACATCCTAATTCGGGCTACAGCACTTAGTCGTTTCACCCCCACACTACAACTGCGGGCATGACGCTACCCACCGTTCCTTTTTCCCACGATTCCAGACCGTGGCCTCGGTACGGTAAGGAAAATGGAAAGTGCCGGTACTGTACCCATTGGTGTTGGCGTGGGCCTGGTTGCCGAGTGTTTCCGGTGTGGCTGGCCTGTCCGCCTCGCTTGCCTCACTTGTGCTGGGCGAGTGAATGCATGTATCGTAGATTGATGGACACGTGTCGGGGTAGGAAATGGGATACACGTAGACAGCACCGGAATAGACATGGCCAGTTATTCGAGAGTCAAGGGTCTCATTGCTCTATAGCCTCGATGCGTTGTTGGCGACATCGCTGGGTCCCACCATTGGCTCTGTCTGTTGCTCCTGAACGGAATGCCGCAGGGAAGGTGACCTTCGTCCACTTTCCAGAAGCGCACTGCTGGCATCGACTACTTCCTCGCACTGAATTGATGACTCCTCATCGTGCCCAGCCGAGGCAACCTCCGGTCCATCAACCCATTCCACACCCTCTGCATCCACGAGTTCAACACCCCACCTAACATCTCCACGCGCGTCTCTGAACCAATCCAGTTTAGTCAGTCTACCACTCTTAGCAAAGCCGTCAACACCCTGCTCCTCAATCAAACCGATCAGCCCCTCGCTTCCAGCAACCATAGCCAGTGCGTCTGCCAAGCACTCGACGCGATGTTGCATGCATGAGCTCGGATATATGATCTGCAAGCCCACAACCAGAATAACCAGGATAACGATAAGTAGGATGAGTATGGTAAGCGAGAGCCACGTTGCCGTCTCATTCATAGCAAGAACTTCAACCCGTTTCGTAAACGTCCCATTCACAGGCTGTGACGAGGCTCGCTGGTAGGCTGCTCTCTCAGGACCTGAAGATGACCAGCTCCCGCTGAGACTCGACGACCCGCTATTGACAAAGTGTTTGAAGAAGATTTGTAACGTCTTCTCGGAATGTCGCAATAGCGTTGTTGTATTTAGCAGGGATTCGGTGTCTTTGTTGGCAAGGTTCCAGTTTGCGTAGGACATGAAGTCGACGTTGAGGCCACGATCCCGGTCGCGAATATTGAAGCGTTCGCTTGCTGTTTCTTCGATGCTGCGGTTGTAGGATAGCCAGGAATGCGCTATGTGAGGTGTGATGATGTGTGGGGCGGTGAGGAGCTGCGTCATGAATAGATGGCCGTAACTAGTAGCGGTAGTGGTTAGCACTTGATTCGTGATGAACACGCTCGAGGTAGCCACTCAATTGGATGGATGCCTTACCTGACATTTCCTCTTCCTGTGTAGGATGTTGGGTTAGGGTACAGGATATCCCAGGCGTAATCCCATGCGTCTAGAGCAGGCTGTGGGTCCGCCACCAAGCTGTATTCCAAAACGTTCCCAGAACTCCTAGCTATAGTAACACTGGCGGATGTATTTTCGATGACCATGATACAGTCCATTATAGCCATCTTGGGCTCTTCCGTGAAGTAGAGAAGCTCTTCATCTGCAGAGCCGTACGGTGCGCTAATTTGTTGTACCTTCGGGTTCGCAGCTGGATTAGGTCCAGATATCTTCGCAGTCACACCTGGCCCCACGATCCACTTGATGGTAAAGTTACGGTACCAAGAACCTTGAACGATAACGTCTTCTGGCCCATCCTCGCTGAGGGGATCGGACGGCGCATTGGCACTCGTGCAGTTGCCATTAGTAAGTTGTTCATAAGTGCATTCTTGTATGAAGAAATTAGGATCCACCCGTTCAATCATTGAGCTGTTGCTGCTCCAATACGCAACGACAGCTTGCTGACCAGGATCTGTGCCATTCGCACAGCATGATAACCGTCTCCGGGCCGAGAAGACAGAGGTATTGTACGATTCGCCGTCGAATAGAGTAGTCGGTAATGCAAATCCTTGTAGCGCTTCACTGGTACGATTGGGAAAAACGTCTGCGGCTTGGTCAAGCCAGTCGGAGTTTGGTACGGCAATCGGAGAGCACTGTAATCGACTTCGGATAGCGGAAGTGATGAAAGACGCGTTTGCGGGTGACGCTATAGAATCAGAGCTTGTATGTCTCCCAGAACCGGAACGCGATTTCGAGGATACCGTAACGTTTGGCAGCTCTTGCATATCAAGTGGGGTAAACGTCCATTCATCCTTAGTCCACGCCAGTTGCGGTGTTTCTAGAAGGATCTCGTCCAACGCGTGGTTGAGCCACTGAATATTGGATGAGTCCAACATATGCTCGTCTAAGTCGAAATTGCGCGTTCGTTCGCCTGGGTTGGAAAAGCCGATAGGCTCTTGTAGAAGCTCAAAAGGTGCTGTCACCCAAAGTGTATCAATATGTGATGGGTCCCAAGTTTCCCGACTAATCAATGCGGTCTGTCTTTCGAAGACGGCTGCCATGGAGATGATGACTACACGGTTAGCTACACGACTCGACGGAGCGAGAAAATGCTTACGGATTTGTGATAAGGTTGTACCAGTAGCTATTAGACAAAGCATCCAATGTTTCCGCGACGCTGATTTTGCCGCGGCCCATATCCAGTATGAAGACTGGTAAGTCAACGATGCTCCTCGTAATGGGACTACGGGTTTCCGCGACAACGAGAGATATGGCTGCAGAATCCGCATAGGTTTATCGATACCATCCCAACTCAATCCAATACAAACGGCGATTAGCGTTGCAACGACAGAGTGAGGAGAGAACGACGTGTCGAATAAACCCAAATCGACCTGGTAGGTAAAAGCAGTCTGAGAAAGCTTATCTTCTCGTGCATATCTGCGAAGAACGAACATGGTTGTTGCGATAGCGATCAGAGTAGCCAGTAGTGTAAGAAGCCATCGTTTGTGGAGCATTGAAGGCCTCCAGTCATCTTGAGAGCCATCTTTTGATCTGGGATGGCTTACTGAAAGCTCGCTTGTCTTGCCGAGTACATTCGGCTTTCTCCCTTCAATCGACTCCCCTATCGTTTCCTTCTCCGAAATGATGCCGCCCTGTAGATGATAAACCCGTGATTGGATAAGACCTTGCGTGCGCGATCTTTCATATCCAAGGAATGTACTGAACGTGGTAGAAGAAAGCGAAGTACTGCCAAGGAGGGATGATGTTCCAGCAACGGTGGCAGGATCTGAATGGAGGTTGAGTGGTCTTTTCCTGGGCGATGTGTAGAATACAGCTACTGCAATGTAGCCTGCCAAGAGCATGAACAATACTGCGAGTGTTATTGCAACCTCAGTGACGACCAGAATCCGTCTCCTAACGCGTGTAGCAAGCCCTTTTGTATCTTCCAATTGTGGGTTGTCGGCTTCTATGAGAGAAGAGAGCAAAAGCTCTTTTGTGAAGTGCATCCGAAGTTTGCTAGCTTCTTCCTCTAACGTGACGTTCTCCAAAATATTGGACACGTTGTGAGCAAAAGTTGAAGCAAGAAGCAACGATATGCCCTCAAAAGAACCATGAACATTACGAGGTACGGCCATGTACTGGAGGTAGAGGCACGATGTCAGTATATGTCTCGCATGCACTTCGTACAGTCAGAACTTACCTTGTCCCAATTGTCACTGCGAAAAGTGAGATCATCCAATAAGTCGAAATCGATGGCTTGTTTCGACACAGGCTGCCTGCGTCGCTCAAACTCTGATACATCGAAGGACATGGAAGTTTCAGCGCTGTCGATGGATGCAGAGACTGGGAGGCTGACTGCATGATATTCCGGAGTGCATACTTGTGCCCGTATCGTGAGGTTGTCCCATGAGTCTTTCTCCCATACACCCACGGGCACATCGACAGGTGACGGCCGGACAATCCATTGAGGCGATACAAGTAGCAGGTCACGCCCAATGCATTGATCGGAGAAACCATAAATGAACGTGCGAGACCATTGCTCGAGGACCTTCTCTCCAACGGAGCGAATTGCTGGAGGCTGACCGTAATCTCGAATAAGTGTCTCCCACGACACGTAATTGGAAGACATGTTGGTCCAGAGCAAGCCACCATCATCTGTAAAGGTATCGCTAATGAAGCCATCGGAGTTCAACTCGGCTCCCAAAGCATCCCATTGAGCGATTGGACCTTGGATTTGGACCTCACAACCATCCTCTGATCGAACTTTGAACCCCTTTGAGGAGACAGTACATGTGTCGTTTGGACATGACGTTATCGGGATGTCTGTATACTTGTAGGTAATATCGATTATGTCCTTCTCGACCAGAGCCATCGATGTGCAACTGTAGTTTAGATGGAACACCTCAGTATCTGCTTGCCATATACCGTTCGGAAGCGTTGCATGGCGCTTGTCGCCATTTGATGCTCCAAAAGGTACAATGACTTGCGAATTCGACGACCAGATAGATGTAGATACGTTGAAGAGATATCCACTTATAGTTCGGAGATACGTATCCCTTCGAGGTGAAAGCTGAATGGGTGACAAGTCTTCGCCAATTGTCTGGCCAGCGGCATACCGTTGAAGCTGCACATCCTCCTGGTACAAGATTTCTTTCGCAACAAATACGGACGACGAGAAGGTTGAAATGCTGAGCACACTGATACCAGCTGCGAGCGAAGACAAGGCCAGATTCCATCTCCGGTGGCCGCCACTCCGCTTTCGAGAGAAACCTACAAAGATGCTTTTCCACCAGACCTTGGGCAGATAGAATAGGGTGAACTTGGCTTCGATAGATTCGGGGCCGGCCATGCGTGCGTATGCTTCAGTCCTCTTTACATCCTCTGCAACCTGGACAACAGCCTGCGTGAAGAAAATGGCGACGATAGTGGGCGTATATCTCCGTCCAATGAGTAGTCCAGTAGACCCATCCTCATCTCCGAGTCCATGGTTTTTATAAGAGTGCCAGCTAAGGGCTGCTAATACGGTCGAGAGTATGAGTGATGCTTGGCTAAGAGTGATCAGGTATGGGCGCCGCAGCGTGTATGGCACCCAATCTGTGGATGTCCGCAGGCTTTGATCTTGAAACTTTGCTTTAAGCTCGTCAGAAGATGTCGGACATAGTAACTTGGGGTACTCGGTGTTGCACTCACGCTCATGGGAATCATCGAAGTTCCTTATTTGCGGCTCATCCAGCGAGTGGTCATCGATTGCTCTACTGAGTGCGGTAGATGCTCGGCTGGAGAGAAGCGTCTCGTTTTCCTGAGCAGCATGAGGAGACGAATCGGTGTGTTCGCGTTGCTCTTGAGCTCGGGATTCAGGCCTGCGAGTGCGGTCGACGCCGTCGCCCTGTTCGGCGTGTTCATGCTGCGTGATGCCGCTTAAGGTATCGCTCTCAGGAAGCGATATCCATGAATAACGTTCGCGCGGTTCTGACGATGGACTAGTGTTTGAATGCGACATGCTGTTTGCGCATTAAACTCCGGATTGCGGCTCCCACGCAGGTCATAAGGCAGTCTGACTGGAATTTGTAGATCGCGCAGAGTACCTAGGTATTTGGGGAAGACATATCTAGAGGCTGAGTGTATTCAGGCAACCATAGTAACCTCGGGAAGACTTGGCTCCATGTTACGCGCTGCAGATGCAGCGGTCACAAACAGCAGCATAGCCTCGTTACGCCCGGCGACCCACTCATGGCGGCCCAATCTCCACTGGTTACCTGGCAGAGCCTCTAAGTCTTGGAAGCCGTTAGACATATAAGACGCGGGCTGTGATTGCCCAGTAATAATGCGAGAGAGATCTGTTTGTATGCGACAAGACGGAAGTCGCGAAGTGCGGAGGAGATGCCAAGGTTCCACAGGGGGTCAGCGTCAGCGCTAGATCCCAAAGGGGAAAGCGTTTGGGGGCGGAATTGTCGATCGACGATCTCGTGAACGATATACAAAAACACGACTTCGAAAGCTTCTATCGGCTATCGGCTATCTGCACTCATGGAGGACCGTTGAAGGTTTTGGGTAAGCTAAACACTACAACAGCAGCTGACATATCGCCAGCCAGATGCATGCTGCACATTTATATTGCGCTGATCTCATTGGCTCTGACGCGTTCCAGCGCGACCAGATGCTAGACATTGTCACACCTATTGTGCGAATGTAACCTACTACTACCCGCAATCTTGTTTTTCAGAATTGTCTCGCGAGATGGACGCTGCGTTTTTCCACTCACAATAGTACGAAGATGATGCCATCCCGATTGCAAGCCCGTGTCAGCCTCCGGCCAAGGACCCTCGCCCTCTTTAGCAGCAACTCGTTATTCGCGCGAGACTGATGATAGCGTACACCTCGCTGGGGTAAGATAACAAACCGCGTGTTGTTTATATCGACAACCTTATTGTTGGTTGAACATCGAGCCGTCCCAACCATACGCGCGAGTCAGTCTTGCACCCAACGTCCGCATCATGGCAAGCGACATCTCGTTGCCCGGATGAGGCTCATGGAAACAGATGCCCTTGTCAAGACCTCTGTCCTGTCTGAGCTGCTCCGATGGAGTGAACTGCCACGCAGAACCTTGCATTTGTTCAGCGGAGAAGCCGAGATGGGTCATCGTCGTGCGAAGAGCCGTCCACTTGGTCACTCCCGGTACTTCGTCCTCATCTGGGATGAAGAATAGCGCTTTGAGGACCTTGTATGAGTTGTCTCCGAGACGGGCCCAAGGTCGGCGAGGATCGACAAACGTATCAGGAGCAAGCTCATCTTCAAACTCAAGCTCGTCGGCGGGCACCGCGGCAGCTGCCCCACGGGTCTTGTCTTTTGCTTTCTTGGTGATGGCAAATTTGTCCAGGTTTCCGGTAATTTCTTTCGATGGATCGTGGAAGATCTGAGACACCGGCTGAAGTTCGAGGATATCATCCGCCGAGAGAGGACCGATCTTTTTCTCGGAACGACCGTCTACCCACGCTTTTGTTCGACGCATAGCACCGCGCTCTTCAAGAAGACGCTGTAAGGTTTCCTGATCCTCGCCTCCAGAAAGGTTCCGGAAATCTGTATCGAAGCCTTTCCAGAACCTGTCCAAATTGGCCTCCGCCTTACGCAGCGCATCAATGACCTTCTTCTTCCGCCTACTTTCTTCGTAAGGATACGTGAACTTTCCATCGGAAGGATCACCAAGTTCTGGGGAAGTAATAAACCCAGTATCCATGGCCGCTACGAGGACACGGTCCCACACCTGCAAGGGCTCAGCCACATGTGAGTTGACCCTGGCTTTGACGCTTTCGGTCACTGCTAGCATCTTCCAGACTTTGAAGTTCCACGGTTGGAGTTCAAGGAGATGTGAGCACTCCGTCAGAACCGAGAGCCGTGTAATGGCCTCTTTGATTGGCGTGCTAAGCAGGTCTCGTACTTTGGGCTTCTTTTGAAGGAAAGTCTCTAAGATATCAAGACGTACTCGGATGTCAACGAAAGAGGTGGTATGCTCGCTCTTGTTGTTGAGTTCACCACATAACTCTTGAAGAAGAAGGCAAATCTCCTTCTTGTTCTGATCTTTCATGAAGTTCTTGTGTGCTGACAGGTGTGATCCGGTTGACAGCGGAAGCCTCACAAACTGCGATCGAAGTTCTTCGCTAGCCGAATATTGACTCATTTCTTCGAGAACATCTCGCTTCATGAGCTCGAGTAGCACGTGGAACGACTGGATAGCCTCCACGAGTTCTTCGGGTTCGAGTGACCAGGCGCGCACACCTTTCGGGTGGAGAGAGAAGAGTTCACCGATACGCCGAGCATAAGCGTCAAGTTGATCCCAACATATCAGCCGTCGGTGACGACGAGCCACTAGAACGTTTAGGGTGCTAGCGATGAAGTCTTTGCTCTTGATATTAGGATGCGCTTTGCCCAAGCGATCGGCCACCTGAGCAACGTCGTGGCCGACAGCACTGGTATAGGCTTTTTCGAACTGCGCTGGATCTTCGCGAAGTTGCCAAATCTCGTCCTTGGCCGTATTAGCTGCGTCGGACGTCCAGCGGCGTAGTCTGTGTAGATGAAGACCATGGCGACCACGGTAAGGTGTCATGGCAGTAGCCTCGGAGAACGCAATGTCCTTATCCTCTTCATCAATGATGTTCAGCGCGTCAGGCTCTGGGTCATCGATCTCAGTGTCGAGTAGTTTCAAATGATCCGACAAGATAATCCGAACGCACTGGAGCAGGAAAGAGTAGAGGAACTGTTGAGCGTGTAGAACTTGAAGACCATTGCCAAGGGCTAAGCCAAATCCATCGTCTACGAAGTCCATAGCCTCAGTGACACTCTCAAATTCTTCTGATTCGCCGTAGTCGTTACTATCAGAGAGGCGGACCACATGTGAGGGCGCGCGATACTCGTCCGTAAAGCCCAAAGGCATGAATAGGCGCTCGGTTGTGGCAAACGTATGAGGCGGCTGACGACTACGAGCCTCGACTAGAGCTGAGAGTGTTGTCTTGTCGCCCAAGTCCTCAAGGTTGATGAACGGTAGGGTTCGTTCCAAAGAAGGTACACCAGAAAAGGCTACCAGGGAGTGGTAGCCGTCCTTGCTAAAGCACTCGGGACGATGACATCTGGGAATATCAGGGTATACTCGCTGGAGTATTCCCGCTCGTTGGTGCGCTTTTTCTGCAGCCCAGCGTGTTGCGAAAACCCCTGACTGTGGTGACAGGATGTTGCGTAGCTGGATCTGTTTGTGAACGATTTCGGCTCCAAGGTTCTTAGTGTAGTACGTGATATCGCCGATGGGGTAGCCAGCTGTCAAGTTGGGGTTGTGAATGATAGCGAGGATCTCGTTCAGGCTCCTGGTTGGGGCGGAATTGGACATGTTGAGAGTGACTATTTGCCTCTCGTGAAGGCCAGTGGCAGTGGGAGATATCTTCTGGCAATGACCGGATAGATCTTCTGATGATCGTTATGTATATAATACCAAAACTCTTAAAGCGAGTAGATATACACATTGTGGGTAATAGTGAATTCGACAGGCACCAAAGAGGTGGCGGCCTTGCATTGCGACAATAGCGCCGTCTACCCCTCCTGAGGGCGACCCGCTGCTCGGAGGGGGTGGATAATTTAACTGATCTTGCACTAGTTCTACGGTTATTGGTGCTTGTGTATAGTCGAGAAGAAAACACCAAAGAGAAGTGTTCAGTCATTCTTACAGAGGTAGTAAACAAGGACGAAGGCAGATACCCTGGCAACAGCAATCGCAGTGCAAGCGCTGCTAGGCATGACTTGAACAGGTAAACTGTCTCTCCTAAAATGAAAGTAATCGCCGCAGATACCCAAGATAACGACCGAAAAAAACCCGTTAAAGCGAGACTGAAAGAAAAGGGCTTGCCAACTTTCCAAAACGGAGCAGCCGGGTCGAGCAATCGTATGCTCAAGCAGCAGCACACACCACGTTGACTCCATGACCTGCAACAGTATCGATGACACCCTCAGCATCCAAAGCTTCAAACAAGCCGACGAATGTAGCCGTCCACTCACGTCCTCCATCTCCGGCGCCTCGATTGAAGACGAAGTCTTGGACTCCGCCGCCAGCACCACCAAGGTCTTGCTTTAGTCTCGCGCCATCGTCGTCTGCCCATCCTGCCCCCCATACAGTATACTCCCCACCACCGAACGACGGTTTGACGCTGCAGCCAGCCGATGCGGACTCTGGCTCGGGAGCCGGTACAACTGGGGGGGTTGCAGGCATGTATTCAAGACAGTCACTGGATCCGGTACCATCGTCCTCACTACTTACCTCCGGGTAACAGTCGTATCTGACGCGATGTGCGTCTTCATCTGCTCCATTCCAGATCATGCGAACCTCGGTCCCTGATTTATGCACCCAGCTTGACTTGTCGGACTTGAGGTATTCACGAATCGCTTTGACTCGCTCAATTCCGGTTGAGTCACGGAACTCGGAAGGGATATCCTCCATTCCTAAGTATGTCGCAATAAGTCCTCCAACAGCAGGAGCAGCTATATGTATAGTTAGCGATCCTATCATGGGTACGGGCAAAGTAGCTTACCGACGGAGGTGCCCTGGAAGGTTTCACTTCTGCTGTCCCTCGTAAGAGAAAAGACCAGGTTGCCAGGCGCGTAAATAGATAGCTGAGGTCCCCCCTGCGAGTCTTCGACTCGATCTCCCGAGATTTTCGCGGCACCGACATTGATGATGGGCGTCATATCCGGATGTTCCAAAACCTGCGGCAGCAAATCGATGTCCTCGCGTGTGCCCTCATCTGCATCACGCTCATTGCCCGCTGCAAGGACGACTGGTGTGCCAAGTGCAATGATGTCGTTGATTGCGTTCAAGAAATCTCTTCCTCTCTCGGTTTTCAAAGCCTGGTCGCGCGTAGTGGACCCAGGAACGGCTTGAGAAACCACGACAACACTCTTGAGAGCTCGACCTTTGTCGCGTATGTCGGCGAAAGCGATTTTCAACCCTACGAGGAGATCATCGGCGGTATGGAGTATCTTGACAGGGACAATCTTGGCTTGCTTAGCTATGCCATATCGTTTCCCCGCAGCTTTACAAGCCATCATTGTACCGTGTGAGCCTTCCGCAGGAGTGCCTTCAGGTGGTGCGTCGTCATCTGTGTCTCTCGACTGCCCCTTCAACTTGGAGGCTTCGGTCTGTAGAATGTCCTCTACATCAACGACGAGTTCGTGTTTATCCTTGAGGTTGCCCTGGCGCGTCTGAGTCAGCGTAGTCTAGAGGCACACAGTAGAGCCACGAACATTAGTTACGCCAACTGCCACACCCTGGTCAATGACGTATATCCAAGTGCCCTTTCCGGCGTTGGCATCGTAGATGAAGCTTTTCAGGTTACCACCCAAGCCACTAGGAAGCTTAGTCAGCTGTCGCAGTGATTTCAAGGTTTTACCACACTTACTCGTACCTGCTGTCCTCCATCAAATCCTTCGTGGCTCTTTGTTGTCTCTTCCAAGTGATCGATCTCTTCGCGATCATCTTTGTTGGGTCGTACAATGATGATGATAACTCGTCGTTGCCAGTGAGATTGGAATAGTGCGATGTATCTCTAGAAACAGCTCGGCATTTGATGAGCGGCAGCGATACATGTAATTCTGGGAGGATGCCGGGATGCTGCGTAACTTCCAAAACGCCCTCTGGACTCAAATCTAGCGGGCCCCATCTCAGTCCTCCGTAACACGTGAGCTCATAGATATCCTCCCCAGGCTTGGTCTTGGTCTTGAGGTACGCGAAAATCTTTGCATTCTCCTCGGTGGCATCCGGATCCTTGGCTACTGCCCAATATGTTGGCGGTTTTGGAGGTACCTTCCTCTTCGTGAATCTCAGTTTCCGCTCCTCGTAGCTCACACCGGGGATATCGATGTCGCTCCAACCCCGGAGATCATCAATCGTCTCGCCTTCGATCAGGGACAACTTCCAACACGGCTTTCCATTGGAATCGTGGGTTTTTTCGACACGATCTCCGTAGAAAGCCTCTAAGTTGCACTCAGTCTCTTCATCCTGGCGATCACGACTGAATTCATCGGTGGATGGGTATACGAAGACAGTGGCTGTAATTGGTTCCACGTTCGAAGAGATGTCGACCTCCCTGTTGTTCCCGTCAGGAGACGGACTTGCAATGACCGCTGGTATCAACGCAAGGAACAAGAAGCGAAAGCGCATGATGTGAAATTGATGGAACAAAGTTCTTGGGACAAAATGTATGGAGGAGTTTGGTAGTAAAAAGATTGTGGGATCTTTGAGATGTGAGATGGCTCAATGGAAGATAGCAACAGTTCAATGTGTGCCCGCTCTTATAGACATATTGCGACGCTCGAGATTACGATCCTGCTATACTTGGAGTTTTACTTCGCCGTCTTGATGTCCAAAGAAAGACCATGTTCAAACGTAGAAGTCGGCGCCTAGGAGCTATGACAGCATACCTGTCTTGAGCACTATCCATGATGAGGTCGCTTTGGACCTGATTCGAATGAAGCACAATGAATCTGCGACCGGAATCGACGACAACCGATGCAAACTTGTGGCGGCGGCACCTACTGTCGACGAAGAAGTGGGGGGAAAGTGATGTGGTTCTGTGCCGTAATGTGAGCTCATTTTACCCTAGGCGATTATGTCAGACAGCAAGACCGACGTGATTGGCCCACTGTGGCCCCACTCTGACACGCCCCAAAATAGAGAAGGCTCACTCATTTGCACTTGCATCTGAATCCTTCTCTCCGCCTTGCGTAGAGATAATTCAGGTGCATGGCACAGCAGCTTCGCGTGCGTTGAACTCGATGGCAATGTCAATTTGTAACGGACTACTGCCGTCAACAATGTGCCGCTGGCGCTGGCACTCATCAAGGTAGTACGAAGTCAGTCCGATGGCAGTCACCATGAATGGTACTTCAGGTAAATCGAGATCACTTTTCCGGGGCGTTTAGGGTCATCGCAATGCAGATAGTCACCGAGAACTGGCCAAATAATGGAAAGGATAACATTGAGCTACTGACGTCCGATATCTCCACAGATGATTACATGCCTACGTAATTTCTTCTAGCATAATGTTTGACCTTGCACCCATCCAGCGCCGACCCATCGACCCATCGACCCGTCTACCATCTGTCTAGATCTTGAGTAAGATTCTTAGACCCAGAGTCTATGAACGCCGTAACCGTGAATGACACCCCAACACAAGTGCGACGAATAGGGTTTCCTCTACATCATCCTTCAGGAAGAGATATTCAAGCGAGCTGAAACATATCACCTCTCCAGCCGTACGTCCTCGCAAGACGCCGACCGAAGCGTCGAGCCCATGTGAAAGGCAGCTTGTGTGTCGGGTGAGGCTCATGGAACTGGATGGGCTGCTCTACATCTAGGTTTCGCGGGGTGAACTGCCAGGCGGAGCCTTGCAGCTTCTGCGCGGCGAATCCAGTAGCTACCATGGCGTATAGGAAGTCGTGCCAGGGAATATCACCAGGATGGTCGCGCGAAAGTGGTGAATGGAACAGGACTCTGAAGACTTTGTGTGCGCGCTTATCGAGATGGAAGGTCGGTTGTTCGTCGATGATGGCGGGAGTAGCTGGCATGTCAAGGTTGTTCTCGTGACCATGTTCGGTGTTGAGGGCTGCCAGACCGTGTGATTTTGCTTTCTTGGTATTGCTCAGGTTGATCTTGTCAAATGCGCCGGTAACCTGCCTTGTAGGGTCGTGGAGGTCGTTGGATATTGGAATGTATACGTATTCGACGGGTGTAGATGGCTCCGAAGTATCGTCGGGCTCGACCCAGAGCGGTGTGCGCTGTAGTTCACGCTCCTTAATCAAACTGGAGACTATTTCGTGAGGCGTAGTACCGGTACATTCCCTGAAGCGAACGTCTGCGGCATGCCAGAACGCATCCAAGGCCGCCTCCGCACTCCTGAGGTTTTCGACGTTCATCCTGCTTCGGCGCTTGTTGATCGGATAGCGGAATTTTGCGCCTGGCTTTCCGAGATCAGCGAGGTTGGTTCCCTCGAAGGTTGTGTTCAACGTTGATTGCCACCTAGAGAGGTTGATAGCATAGGCTGTTATGAGCTCCGTCTGTCGCTGTTTGGCTAAGTACTGAACTCGCTTTGCCCATGGTAGGAAGAAGCTGAGTTGACGAAGACATTCCGAGACTATGGACAGCTTGGAAAGGAGTGAGGCTGCGAACGGGGAGGTCAAGTTTCTCGCTCGCTCATTGTTTTGCAATAGATTGTCCAGTGTCTCCACTAGAGTGTGCACCTTTAACGACTGTCGGACAGGCGGCTCCCAAAGATACTTGAAAAGAGTGAGAACACGCTCCAGATCTTTGTCTCGTTTGCGACTACCTTTGCCGGTGAATTTGATGCCCACCACCATATCCTCAACACTGTGATCGCATTCTTGGGAGAAATAAGCGCGAATTTCCAAAGAGGATGACCAGGCTACCCTCAGCTCTTGTATGATTTCCAATTGGAAGAATTCCAGAAAAGACCAAGCTTTAACAAGTGACTCTGAGAAGTCTTCTGGGAGCTCTTCATTGCTACCAAAATTCTCAAATCCAAGCTCGTGTTTGTATAGCAACCTGAAGCGGTTCAGCTCGGAGATATGTTGTCGCAGTTCGTTCCACATGAACAGGTCAATGTAGCAGTCGGTGGCCACACCATGTAATACACGAGGCCAAAGAACTTCGTCGCGCGCACTCTTATGTGTTTGCTTGCAACGAATACCTGGCAGTAGCTCCGGCCGATGTTCTTTGTATTCAAGTGTAAACTCTCGAAAGTATCCCGGATCCTCTCGGAGCAGCCAAATGTGATCTTCAGCCGCGTTTTGGCATGCAGATACCAGTGCTTCAAGTCGGCCGAGATCCGCTAATGTAGGCACCCGATAACATGCTTCTCGTACGATGGCGTTGAGCGAGGTGAAGTCCTGATCGCTGCAAGTCAAAGCTGGAGGCTCGGACGGATTTGCAGCATCTTTGTACAGCCCATATAACTCTTCGCACGATCGCTTGATGATAGCTGATTGTACCATAGTGTTATCCGCCAAGATTTCGCCAACACACAGCAGAAGGAACTCAAGTATGGCCGTCTGCATCCACACAATGTGTGAGCCAGGTAGAGGATGTATGGTATCTCCTCTACCCATCGATTCAGCGGCCTCTGCTTCCGTATCCCATTCGTAGATCTGGCCGTATCCGAGGTTGTTGAGCCCCATAGTAAACTTTGTCTTCTCAAGAAGCGCTGGCCGTAGGTGTATCAGAGGGGCCAACTCGTAATCCAGAAAGGCAAATTTCCACATTGCATGTCGGCCACGTGCGTTGAGAAGGATGAGCAGTGGGTTCGGCTTGGTGAGGTCCTCGAGGTTGAGATAGGGGAAGGCGTACTGCGCCAGCCCATGCGAATGCCTCTGGTGTGGGCACGCATTGAGAACGGACCTGTCGATATCGGGGCGATGGTTCTTTGGTAGCTGTGTTGGCCAAGCCTTCTCGAGGATCGCTTTCCGCTGCGCCTTAGACTTCTTGAGCCAACGCGCGCGAATCTCACCTTCGAACTTGACGATGATGAAACACAGAGTTGTCCAAATGATAAGGTTAACCACCACAGCATCACACTCTGCATTGACGATGTGCTCCACCGGGGCCATAATAGCTTTCTCCCAGCATAACGGTTCCTTCTGTCTGTCGTTGTCGCATGGATCGTCTTCTGGGCAGCCGAAGAAATGGTGTACGTGGTCGAAGTAGTGGAAGATACCTGCTCTTGTGAATGTAAGACCGCCAGATCTTGTACCCTTGAGTAGCGCCTGGCGCAGTGTCTCCGAGGCTTCGGGTTCGGGCAAAGATTTGAGAGATTGCAGCCACTGCCGGTACTGATCGGCCGACTCCATGCTCGATGTGCGATGGTGCTGCAAGATTTAGAGCTTCCAAAAGAGAGGCGAGAAGATTAAAAGAGATTGCATCGTTGTGCGCAGACATAGAAGAGAACGACTCTAGGCTGCAGCACCGCTTCTCACGTAAAGGCGCAAGTGAGAGGGATTTTTTTGCTCAACTCGCAACAGCAAACGGGCGCCAGGCGGGCGCTCTCATACCGCTACATCACTGCGCTCACCAATGCGACGACATGGTCTTGCATCAATGGCAAAGACCATGCTGCTGAGCTAACTGCGCAAAGCTACATGTCTCTACCTGATATCGTCTGCCGGAGCAAACATATCAGAATCGATCACTATTGACGTTTGGTGGTTGAAGTGAGTCCAGCGGGTAGGTCGGTCGTGGTCCCTGTAGGTGTCGCTTCCCTCGACTACCAGAACCCACCCAAGGAAGGTGTGCCTGTTGACGCGAAGCCTCGTTCCCCTCTCTTTACACCCCGACTACGACCTACTCCACTTTCTCTCACTTTCTTTCGTCGCGTCGTCGATCAAGTTGCGGTGAAAGCCCTTCAACAGTCGGTCAGATAACGCGCGGAATATCGTCGGGACGCTGCAGACGATCGGGAAACCACAGCGACATTTCCAAACCACCATCTCGCTAATGGCACAACCCGCTTTCGGATGCGACACAAATTTACGTATGCGCGACGCGGCGCGGCGTCGTACGACTTGCCCTCCGCGGTCCCGGTGAGCAACGTTGCGCAGTATAGCGGGGGGAAGTTTGTTCCGCCCAGGGCCAAGGCAAGGACGAGGATCAATTTCCCCAGATCAGGCTATACGCCAGTCCGGGGAAAGCGGGCGGCGAGGATAAGGCTTGGACGAAACATGTCGGATGTTGCCAAAGAGCAATGGCTACGTCGTATTACCAACGATGAAACGACGTTGAGGTCGCGTTAGCTCGCGTCTAACCCGCGGCTTCCATGGCTTCCTATTCGGCGTCTCGACAATATGATGCCATGACAGGCGAGCTTGGCTCAGGCTATTGCTAGACACGAAGAAGCAAAGAAAGTTCGCGCCAGGAATAGTCGCCCGGTAATAATGTCGATATATTCAACGACAACATGGACTCATGGTTCGGATGATGCGGAGAGAAAACTGTTTGCAGAGGACGCGTCGCGCATCGAGATCGCAACGCGACTGGCGCTGACACGAGTTTTGGCGGCGCCAGACCTGTTCGATCAGTCTTCGATCAGCGATTCCTTGGACCTTTGGCGAGAACAACTTGGATTAGCCTTGCGCAGGGCGGCCAACGCAGGA